AGTAATTAATCCAGATATTTTCAGAAATGTCTGTTGTAAAGCTGACCTAGATACCATGGCCGTATGGTTTCTGATTGTAAAGCTAATTAATTAAGCTGTTGTTGAAATCAATGTTGCCAAATTAATGTAAATGTTTGATGTTAAACTTTGATTCTGTTAATAAATGACCGCATTCATTTTGATGGGTCAAAGAAAATTAACGTCTCACGTCACATTTAATCATTCAATGCAACATAGAACTCAGTCCAGAAAAATGAAAGAATCCGTTTAATTTATGAATAATATCTCACAGATATATGTTCATTTACATCTGGTGGCCTCGTACGGTATCATAAATGGACTGTTATTCGTGTAAAAACTGACTGTTGGCATGAAAAGTGCAGCTTTCTAATCTATCAGCTGTGGGGTTCAGAGAAAGTTTACAGTTGTAATGTTTTGAAAGCTGAAATAACGTCAATGGGTTTCATTTTAAAGCTGAAATGTACATGTGTTATGTGACAGAGCTAATAAGCTGTGAAAAGTGTTTGATTCTGTTTAAAAAGAAGGGGGTTCTGCTCAGACCCGGTTCGCTCGCTCGGTTCTGATAAGTTCGAACGAGTTGTTTTAAATGGTTGGAGAGACGTTTTTAAAAACTGAGGGCCGTCTCAGTGAGCTTTTGGGAGTTTATTCGTCACATTTTTAACAGAAAATTGTGCATTTTGACAGTTTTAATGACGAAAGTTGACCGGACTTGTTCAGGCTAAATGCTAACACGCTAGCTGAAAAAACGATCCGTCATTGGCTGAAAACCGCTGTTTGAAACGCCCTGATTCGCTGGAGAGACGAGTGACGTGTCTGTCGTCACTTCCTCTGATGTCAGGTTATAAAACCCACCCCCGCTGTATGCTCTGTCATTGGTTGATTCAGTCACGTGACCCGGAAATGAGTCTCGGTTCAACCGAAGCCTCCACTGTGTTTAAAATCGCTAAATGGAGCTGCCACATGTACCACAAAACTCATGTTTCATGCAAAAAAGTCGTGCTTGTTGAAACAACGCCACGTTTTAGCTTTAAATCCGTTCAGAAATGTTGATTTGACCGAGTTGCGCTGATGCTAATTTTAAGCTAAGCGGCTAACAACCGGATGTCAACAGAGCGATCCACAGGAAGTTGTCATAGACTCCTGCTGGTATAAATAAGCTTACACCACCACCTGCTGTTAAAAGAGGAGTATAACAGTTTTCCTGAAGAGGGACTGATAATCTCCTCATCATTTTTTTTTCTTTTCTCTTTTCACCCAACCTGGTTTAATGAGTAACTGTTTTAAATAGCGAATTTCTGGAAAAGAACGGCTTAAGAAAGCGTTTAAAAAACTAAAGTTGCTGTAAAACTTTTAGAAAAATTGCAGGTTTATTTAATGTTAAGTGCTTTAGAGTAAATAACACTGAGAAGCTTGGTAATCTAGTATCTGTTTGATTTAAGCACGTTAATAACACTGCCAGAAGAGAGGCATTTACTTAAAAATATTCATGAATTGGGGTAAAACCTACGAATAGGTGCCCATCCATTTGAAGAAGTGGCTTACACAGTACTATTGAGTGAACCCAGAGCTAAAAAGTGTGTGAAACTCACATGACACTTGAATACAAATATTTACCTGTTAAAATAATCTGAAGTTGGCAACTGTTTACACAGATAAGTGCTGAACAGTGAATAACCATGGCAGGTGTGATAGAAAAGGATTTTGATCCTTGTGAGATGAAGGACTGGTTAGAGGGAGCGTTGACACTGCTCACAGACTCCTTACATCCATATGGTGAACAGGTGGACAGCATGAACTCAAAAGAGTTATTGGACAAGCTGAAGGAGGTTGCAGAGAGTGTGACCTCTACAGACAGACCAAAGTCAAGCTATGAAAAGCTGGCAAAATTGGCGCTTTTACTGAAAGCGTCATTCTATGCAGTGGTGGACAAGGCTGATGACCTTGCAATAAGGTTAAACAGCGAAAATGAGGTGGTTCAGGAAATTGAAGAACGCTTCCTTCAATTTAAAAGTGAACAAGAGGTCCTCACTAAGAAACATCGTGAACAGCATGTTCTCATGCTAAGACACCCATAGAGGTGTTTCCTGGTGTAAAGGTTAAACCCCACTCCCTAGAACTGGAAGAAAGGCGTGCATCGCCGCCTCCCCCTAAAAAAGGCGAGAAAAAGCAGTCTTTTCAAACTAACAAACCGCATCATGAAGGTGCACGCTGGGACAAAAAAGCTCCTCTTTCAGAGGATGAACGTGATTATCGTAAATGGGGTGTGCGTAGGACGCAAAGATATGGGAACCAAGAGGACCCATATTATCAGGGGAAGTCCGAAAAGGAACCCCCAAAAGACGTACCTAACCGTCCCCCACCTCGGACGAAACGAACCGAGGCGAAAAAATCACAAAAGTTCCAGAAACAAGGCCCTACACCTCTGAGCTCGGAAGAGACAGAGAAACTACGCAGGTTGTTAGAAACTTTGAAACGCGCTGAGACGGGAAACCAACCTGGAGCACTATGCAGTGATGTAATCACTATTACATCTGAGGGCGCGAATGACAACATCACAGATGTCGGTGGAACACACCAAGACATTGCTGTTGTTGCCTCCAACAACCCCTCATCGGAAGAAGGGGGGGTAAACTCACACACAAACGATGACGAGTCCTCGCAAGCTGAACACTCAGAAACAGCTACTGCTGTGCTGACGGTTCAGACAAACCAAGATTACACAGACAAGGCTGAACGTGTGAAGAAACGTCAGAAAAAACCTAAGAGGTTTCTGTGTAACTTTATCAGAAGGGGGGTCGCCAAGAAGGCGTACCTGTCAGTAACACTCGAAGGTGTCCTCACACATGAAGCACTCCTGGACGGTGGGGCAGACATAACAATTATGTCAGCTAAACTGTTCGAGGAGCTGAGGACAGCCGCTGCCGGTGTTAACAGGATAATACCTCTCACAGAATGTGCTATAGAAATGCAGGGTCTCTCAGAGAAGAGGACAACCCTGACAGCTATAGTAATGGTTCACATGCAGGTTGGCAGAATGACACTATACCACCCGGTACATGTGTCTCGTGTTGACTCATTCCCATTTTTGGTTGGCCAGGATTTTATAAATCGCTTCGACGCGATTATAGATTATGGTGATCAAACGATGTGGGCCAAGGTGAGCAAACCACTGCCAATACAAATGCCTCCGGAGTGTAACACAAACTGCCTAATAGCAGGTACCACGGAAGGCGCAAAGGACCCCTCAGCCGAGGACACGAGCCCGGTGAGTACTCCTCTGAAATCATGTGAAACCAAAGAGACCCAACCGGTGGTCCAAACTCTGACCCAACAAGACAGCCTCCTCTGTGAGCTGGAGCAGTCAGAGTCCACCAAACACTACCTACCACTGGTGGTTAAGGGTGTAGAGATCCAAGGATCCCACACCAACGATGCTGTTCTGTCTCTGTGGATAGATAAATCAGCAATTAACCGAGCTTTCTATGAAACCTTGGTTCACAAACACGTGAGTCTAGAACTAATTAAAAAAGCTTTCCGCTTTCCATTAGTTCCCAATAGTTCACAGGTAATGACCGCAGAAGGGGTCATTAACCTAAAACTGAACTGGAACCAACGAGAACTGGTTCACCCGTTTCTCGTGATCCAAAACTTACCACATGCAACCTACGTAGGCTCTGACATTTTGGTAAGGTTGGGTGTCCACGTGGACACCATTAACAAGGTGCTGTGGTCCCTAAAACCAGCCACAAAGGATCCTCCTGTGCTAGACACAGCAAACCTTAAGGCTGGGCAGACCATTCCACAGGCCTGCCAGGTTGCTAGCAACCAAACCACCACAGTACCACCTCAGGTGATTAACCTAATGGTGCGAATCCACATCATAGCTGGACAAGCTATTAGCCATAAACAGGCATATTTTCAACCTTCTCCTGCATTTTTCAACTTGGGACTGTCCGTGGAAGCCACGAACCAAGTGAGCCTTGACTCCAGGACCACATCTATTGATGTGTGTAACACAGGCACGGATGAGGTGATGATCCCAAAAAACACTATGCTAGGATGGTTGATTTCCACTGATTTTCATGATTTTGAACTAGGCATTCAATTTCTGGGAGGACTCCCAGATAACCTGGTACCGAGTCAAGAAGCTGGGCCAATATGGTTCACAAAACCAACACAGGCCATAGCTCTTTTCTCAACCGATGACGTCGACCAAGGACCTCAAACCTATGGTGTCTTACCCATAGACAGGGCCGACGACTCAGAAAGGGATTCGTTGGAGCTCCCCAAAAAGCAAGAACCCTTATCAGTCTCATCACAGATTGAACAGGTGGTCGCCCAAGTCGACGCTCTGACATCTGATGAAGAAAGAGACAAACTTCGCCAAGTTCTTTTAAAATATGAAAAGTCATTTTCACCTGACCCAGACATCATCCAACTTCAGAAGTTGGATCCTGCAATTAACTCGATGATACTGTATCTGACTGACCCAGACAAATACACTCCATCGATAGGCGAACTGGATTCCAATCCAGACCTTAAAGTCCTCTTTCAGCTGCGCAAACAGTTAAAACTACTCAAGGACAGCCTAA